CCCCCCCTTCCCCCCCCCCACACAAACACCCTGCCCACCCGAGCTCTGTACTTCCACCGCCACCCTGGGCTCAAGCCCCAGGCCCTGGGCTCTGCACTCCCACCAGTCCCAGCCCCATGCTCCTGCCCAGCAGCAGCTCTCAGCCCTCCCCCACTACTTCCCTACCTGCTGCCCAGAGCGAGAGCTGCTGCAGGGACAGAAGGCAGCGGCGCTGAAGGCCAGGGAAGCCAAGCAGGTCCCCCAGCAGCTGCAACAGTAGAAGCAGTGGCCTCGCCCAGAAGCTGTGTGCTGGCCAGGCTGGGGTCTCCCACACACAAAGGTGGAAGTGAAGCACATGGATTGGGAGGGGTACAATTAATTGGTGGGCTCCAGTGGGCTGGATGAAATTGCCTGGTGGACCAGATCCGGGCTGCAGGATGCATTTTGCCTGATCCTGTGCTAACAGTAACCAAAAGCTTCAAGGGATTTACTAACAGGAGATACAAACTTAAAAAAAAAACCAAAAAAAAAAAACCTTGATTTTCTTCTGTACTAGAGCTCTATTCACTACAAAGAAGATGGGTAACAAGGCGTCTCCAGAGTTATGTTTATTCCCATTTGAATAGCCTGGAGACCTTTTATGTTAGACGCAACTTTGGAGCCTTTAGTCAAGTTGGTCATGCTCTACTGGTCCTGGGCATGACCGTAAACTGCATCCAACAGAAGGATCTGGTAGCAACATGGTGGGGCAACTCGTGGCAGGGTAGCTCCTATGAAATACCAATGTTGCACCCGCCACAGCGAGGTGAGTATAGGGCCCCTCAAAACCCTAGTCCACACTTCCTTGTGGGTACTCCTTGGTTGGAGAAAGGCTAAGGGATATGACCCTGACAAACGCACCCTTGCTGTTGCATTAGGCAGTCAGCAGCAGTTCTCATCCGTTGCTCTCTGGCAGAAGCTACAACCATCAAGGCACTGAGTGTCTGAACTCAGTCTGGCCTTTGGATTCTGTCTCAGCAGTCTAAAGGAGGGATGGTAGGTCTTGAGCAGTCACCACTCATCCATACTCCTGCCTAGGTGTACATGTCCAAGGTCTTGGTGTGATGGTCACAAGACTGTACAAGCAGATTCACCAGGCCCTTGATTAAACCTCTTATGCATACACCATGACCCACAGGACTGACAGTGGCCTACTACACACTCTACACTAAATAGTAGTTTTCTGCAGGCAAAACCAAGGGTTACATTACCATTCCTGATGTGGAAGATAGCCATACACTGTGCATCATCTTTGATACTGTGACAAGCTATCCTGTTCTCGTATTTAAGGAATCGATCCCCTGCCCATAAGAGAGCTGCATGATCAGAAAGTGATATGCTCTCTCAGTTCACTGATTTGAAGCACCCAAAATCCAAGCTGGGCTAGCACTGAAGCAGTGCAAAGGCCTTTACATTCTGACAAAATGTTATAAACAGTGATCAGTCACAGAATTACTTACTATAAGTTAACTCCTCTCCAGCTCTCTTTCGGGACTGGTCACCCCTGAGGAAAAAGGGAGGAAAAAAGAATTGTCACCAAATCGGAAAGAAAAAGATATATATCCTTGAAGCACAATGTTAGCATGGGGGTCATCAAATTCTATGGAAACGTTTAAAACCATATGCAAATATTTTAATGATAACAAATCAGAAATGTGAACGAGGAAATAATCCATACCAGAATCTATGGGCGCCTACATATGCCTGATGCCTTCTCCGACATGCGCTAATTAGTCAAACGAGCTTTAGTTAGCGTCGCCGCCACCATTTTGAAACAAGGGACACTGAATACACAAGACACTATAAGCACTTTAATTAGAGCAGCTCCCG